CTGCTGTCAGTGATGTGGGCATGCGCTCTCTCCTCCGGCGTGCCAACTGAGTTTTACCTTCTAGATTTATTTTTCCTAGCTTAATGGATATTTAATGGTATCTTGGATGTAATGTGTGAGTCTTTAACTGCCAGGGAGGCTGAAACTGCGGGGCTTGGTGCTGGGTCTCCCCGTGCTTGCTCAGTGGGCGCCCAGCCCCAGCCTTGCTCTCGCACCAGAAAGCAGCGCGGCCCAAGGAGGAGAGATGGCACGGCTCTCCGGCTCCTCCAACAGGGCCTGGGCTTGCCCTCAGCCGCCCCCTGTACCCCCAGGCTCCTTTGTGCCTCCCTTTCCTTATCCCTGAAACAGGAATTCATTTGTTCAAAAACGTTAATTCAGCTGCCTTCTATAACTTGGCTCTGCCACTTCCTGGCTGTGTGGACTTAAGCAAGTGACCTAACCTCTCTGTGAATCAGTTTCCTTATTCTTAAAGTGGGATAATAATAATGGCACCTGCATTTCACGGCTGTGGAGGGGAAGAGTGATTAACACGTGGGAAGAACAGAGCCAGCCCGGGCAGTGGTTGGCAGCCGTTGGCACTCTCGTGGGTTCTGGGGCTCAGCACAGTGCTAACGCCAGACTGCAGCCATGGGCAGCCCTGCACTGTCCCTGCCCCCGTGGGGCTTCCACTCTAGCTTGGAGCAGAGGAAGCGAACCAGGGGAGACTCAGAGTGGAGTGAGACTATGAAGGGTCTACTCTCAAAAGGGAAAACCTCTTCTGAGGGAGGCCATTAGGCGAGATCATTAAGGGGAGAAGGGGCCAGACAGGGGGAGAGGGGGTGTATGTGTCAGTGGGTTACAGAGGGTGTTTCAGGTTGGGAGAACAGCAGATGCAAAGGTGCTGAGGTAGGAGATTGAGGAAGTGGGAGAGGCCCATGTGGCACAGGAGGTGGGGATAGGAGCGAGGCAAGGGATGAGGTAGGGTGGTGAGCCGGCTGGAACTTGATTCAAAGTACAGGGAGAAGCCCCTGGAGGATTTTAAGCAGGGAAGGGTCATGAGCCAGCTAGTATTTCCAAGGGACTCCTTGGGCATTATGGGGAGGCCTCCTGCAGGAGGATTAGGTCAGCGCCCCAGCCTTGGTAAGAGGTGCAAGGCGAGGAGTGTTGGGGAGCCTGGGGAGAGCAGGCCAAGTGTCACGTGTGGGGACTGGGCTGCACCGTGCTCCCTTCAGCTGCTGGGGCCCAGGCCTTGCAGGCTGTACCCTGAGTTCCTGGGCACCTGGCCCAGCGCTGGGCTCCACCCTCCCTAGCTCTGGTTTTTCACTGCCTCTTCCCACCTGGGAGCTCATTTGGGTCATTCTGCCAAGCATTTCTGCTCTTATCCAACTCTGACTCCACTATTTCCACACTCAAATGGTGGGTGGGAAAACCACCCCTCCTCAGACACGTGCTGGGTGGGGAGGAGGGAGTCCTTCTGACCCAAAACCAGAGGGCCAGTTGCCCAGAAGGCCCTGGATGCCATTTTTGCTTTTAGTTTGTGAGGCTGGCCCTGAACCATCCGGTTAGGGAGCTGGGTTGTGGGCAGGCCACTGGGGTGCTGGGCAGGGCTTTGGGTGCCACTGCATGCTGCAGAAAAAAGTGGCTCTCTGACTAAGCCTAGGTTGGTCCTGGCCTCTGAGTGGACATGGCCATCACCTGCCCTGGCCTCCCTGGACTCTGCTTCCTTGAGCCTTTTGGCCTTTGGGGTCAGACCAGGGCTTTGTGGGACATTCAAAACCAGAAGGGAACTGGGGGTTGGAGTCCTTCCCACACCCACCCTGTGCAGATGGGAAAGCTGAGCCCCAAGGGAGGGGACTGCAGTTAGCTGTGTTGTCCATTTGTCTGTCTCTCTTTCTCAGTTGTTTGCCTGCCTCCTGGATCCCCATACTGGCAGCAGTGGGCATTTGAACCCTCTTAAAAACTGCCAGAAAAAGATACCTGAGAAGGGTAGTCTTTATAGGACTGTACTAATGGCAAAAAATGCAAGTATTTAAAATATCTGTTGACAAGAGACAGGTTCAATAATGATGGGAGAGCAACACAGTAGAATACCACCCAGCCATTAAAAAGGGCAAGGCCGATGGTTCTGAACAGAAATCTGAAGCAGACTGCAAAATGTTGTGTGGAGCATGGAGGTGCACAGTTCTGTGTGTGGCTGCAGTCACCTGCTATAGGCACTTGCATCTCAGCAAGGACACAGAAAATGCTAACATAGGGACTGGTGACTCGGGGTTGGGAGCAATGAAGGGAGACTTGATTTTTTTCTCTATACCCTCTGCAGTCTTGACATTTTTTGATCCTGTATCTGGAACACTTTTTTAAAGGAAAAATCTAGCTGAAGAGACCACTGCCAGATTCCAATAAACATCCATCAACAGCTAACTGAGCCTTGAAATCCCAGGATCTCTGTGTCAGCTGCTGAGGGAGCCCCTCCCCTGCTTCCCTGTTCCCCCAGCGCCCCTCTGTCTGACTCAGCTGAATCAAGTCAGAGAACTAGATTGAGGTGCAGCTGGGCATGTCTGGGGTGACAGATGTAAGAGCAATTGCCAACATGGCCCCTGCCTCTGAGGCTGGAGGAAGGGTGTGACTCAGATGTTGAGCAAGGCAGGGGCCCTTGGTCACCAAGAGATGAAGCCAGTCATCACACTTGGCTAAACCAGAGAAGGTGACTGAAAGACTTTCTGGGCTAGAATCCTTAGGGGATGCAAATAGGAAAAAGATTTGCAGAGGGCCAAATCTGGAGGGACCCTTGACATTATTAATACTAAAGATAATAACCACCCCAGGGACCATTTAATGTGCGCTTACACTAGGCACCAGCTTTGGAATCCTCTAACAACTCTCTGGGAGGATTAGCTACATTTCCAGATGTGTCTCAGGAGAGTTAAACAAGCAGATGTGCTCTTCTGCTAATAACCCTGCCTGGCTGCCCATTGTCTGGTCAGACGCAGCTCACCTTGACCATGAGTGAGCAAGCTCAGTCTTGCTCTTTGCACTCTGGCTGCATCACCTTCATTCAGTTGGTTCTACCAGTTAAAGCTGTGTGACTTTGGGTGAGTTATTAACATCTCTGAGTCTCCGTTTCCTCCTCTGTAAATTGGAGATAATCTATAGTCTTTATTTCATAGACTAGTCCATGAAAATCATAAGTATAAAGTACTTGTGACCATAACAGGCTCATGGTAAGCCTGTGTTTGCCATGATTGTTGTTATGATTTACCCCATGCTTCATCAAATCTAAGATGTCACCGATCATAAAATGTACTAAGGAAAAAAAGAATGTTGCCAGTTAACTCTGTCCCAAGTCTGTTCCATCACTAGAATATTTATCTTATACTTCCCAAAGGAGCTTTTTTAAATTCAGACATAGATTCTCATCATATATAATTCTGATGCACACATAAAAAGGAAAATAGAAGCAGAATAAACTGTTTATTGTGTCTGGAAACTTCCTTCACATTTAGAGCTCAACAGAGGGGTGATGTCTCTGTGCTTCGCTGCTGCCTTTCCCTGTGAGCCGTCGGGAGTTCTGGAGAGCAGCCCACCCCGAACACTCATCCCTATGACAGTATAAAACCACCAGCAGCCACTAGATTGCAATCGGCCCCTAAGCCGGCTTTGCAATTGACTTCTGCTTTGGGGGTGTTACTGGGAAGTGTGCTTCCCTTTCCTGGGGGCTCCCACCGTTTGGGTTCTGAGGTTAAAAGGGCACTCCACTCTTGCCTCTGGGCTTTTCTTCCAAGCTGCTGACGCCCTTTTGGCAGGGTTTAGTGCTTTTGAAGTGTGGGCACGTGCAGGCAATGACAATTATGTCAGGACCGCAGCCAGCCAGACAGCAGCTCTACGGTGAAACCTGACTTCAGAGATTTAAATGTGAGAAATAAAGTGTCTTGGAATCAATGAAACATGAATAATCTCTGAAATTAACACTGGTCATGCTTCCAGATGCCACAGAGTCCTTGCATATTCTGTTCCCGCTGCCTAGAATGCCCTTCCTTCCTCCCTGCTTGCCTAGTTAACCCGATCATCTCTGTTCTCAGCACCATCTATAGTCCCTTGGGGACGCTTCTCCAACCATCTGTTCAAGGTCAAATCCCTTCCCCATTAATGCAGGTGGTATAGCTGCCACATTACTTTCTGAGTATATGTGTGGGTTTTTAGGTAGCTGTCCCCCCAGTTACTGTTCAGCCCAGCGGGGCAGGGACTATGTGGCTTTTTACTACCAGCAGTGTCCAGCATGGAGCCAGAATGAAGGAATGAATGGAGGCCCCCAACACTGAGCAGCAGTGGGGGGTGGGGGTGGGGAGGGTGAAGGTGGGGCATGGGGACCTGGAATGTCCTCCTGGCCTGTGGGTCTACAAGACACATGCTGCTGGTCTGCGCGCTTCACTGCTTTCCCGGAGGCGGCCCGCTTCTTTTACAGAAAGGAAGCCAAGGCCCATGAAGTCACTCGCCCACGGCCCAGGTGTCCTGTCTCAGGCCAGTGTGCAGAGTATGGGGAGGGTAGGGGCAGAGCCGAGTGCTTGCTTCTGGCTTTGGTTCAGAGGAGGCTTGCTGGTGAGGCAGCATCTGACTCAGGCATCACAGGTTGCGAGGGCAGTTCGGGTAGGTTTGAGAAACATCAAGGGAGAGAGAAGCTGGTCAAATTGGAAGATGCAGGCATGGGTACCAGCCTTCCCACACAAGGCTCAGAATCCCATCAGGGGCCCTGGAAGGGGCAAGGCTTAGGCCACCCTCCATGCTTTCCGGTTGGGAAATTGAGGCCCCAAGAGGCGAAGACTCACCCACCATTGTCCTTTGAGCCAGGAGGGCTGTGGGCCTTGCTCCTGCTGGGGATGCTGGGAGGACGCGGGGTGGCGAGGTATGGGCTGAGGCAGGACTCTGGGGGTGCACTGCCTGCCTGCATCCGGAAGGAGGAAGCTGCACAGGGTGCCTGTGGCTGGGCTCGGGATCCCCCACCCAGGGACTTCCTCTTCCTCTCAGGGCAGGTGTAGCTGCCACAGCGGGACCAACACTCTGACCCCGCCATGGATGGCAGCAAGGAGCCCAGGCTCAGAGACTTCCTGAGTGGGAGCCTGGCCACCTGGGTGAGGGGCAAGCAGGCGGGTGGGGGTGGGACTGGAGAGGGGAAGTGAGCAGCAGGGAGGGGCTAGTGCTGGGATGTGGGGTAGGCAAAACTGGGGGCCTAGGGTGAGGGGTGGCCTCCAGTGGGGCTCTGGAGGAGTCCAGGCTGTGGGGCAGGAAAAGGGTCAAGACCCCGGGCTGGAGGTATTCATGGAGTTGGTGAGGAGGGGGCTGCGCGGGCTCAGGGGGCAGGTCAGAGGGGCTCAGGAGTGACTCTGCTGGTGGGGGCTTTCCACGCAGGGCCAGCTGACCCATCTCCCCTTCCCACAGGCGCTGGGACTGGCTGGGCTGGTGGGAGAGGCTGAGGAGCCTGAGGAGGAAGAGGAGGAGGAGGTAGAGGGGCCCTTGTGCCCCGAGAGGAGGTTCTTGCATCTCAGCAGCGGGGCCCTGCTCCTCCGGGTGCTGGGCATGATGTAAGGGGCATTGGGGATGAATCTAGGCATCCGTGGGGGGGTGGGGGGGTGTACTGGGACAGCTGGTGGGGCCAGCCTAGGGCCGCTGGGCAGGGCCTGGTTGGGGGGACGCTGGTCCCAGATTACCCCACCCACCTATCACCCCCTGTGCCCACAGTGCCCCCAGTTCCCGAGGGGGACCTCAAATGGTCAGGGGCCACTGTGGTCCCGCAGCCACAAGGGTGCGGAACCTGAGCCACCTGTGGGGCTGCCTGAGGGACTTCTACCAGGTGAGGAGCTAGTGTGGGAGGCTGAGCGCGGGGGTCCCCTGAGGGAAGTGCCCTTGTATATCTCCGGACCCCTCCACCCACAGGAGGAGCTCCAGCTGCTGATCCTGTCGCCGCCCCCAGACCTGCAGGCCCTGGGATTCGACCCCTTCTCAGGTGCTCTCTCTCACGACCCCTTCCTGCTTCCACCCTCTCCCCTCACCTGTTAACCCCCGTGGCTTGTGCCCTTCAGAGGAGGCGGTGGGGGAGCTGGAAGGCGTCCTTCGGCTGTTGTTGGGGGCATCAGTGCAGGTGAGCAGGGGAGGGAAGGATGGGTCCAGCTTTGGGTGCAGAGGTGGGGGCCTCCTGTGCCAGCTTCCCTGCCACATCTCCCTGCAGTGTGAGCACCGAGAGCTCTTCATCCGGCACATCCAGGGCCTCAGCCTCGAGGTCCAGAGTGAGCTGGCTGCTGCCATCCAGGAGGTACAACTTTGGACTTGCAGTGCTACCCGGGGACACCTTGTCCTCCACCTTCATTGGCTGAACTGCTCTCCCTGTGCCCCCCAGGTGACCCAGCCTGGAGCTGGCCTGGTGCTGGCACTGGCTGGGCCTGAGCCCGGGGAGCTGGCGTCTCCTGAGCTGGAGATGCTGTTCCGGAGCCTGATGGGGACCCTGCTGAGGCTGGCGAGAGAGCGTGATGCGGAGGCCCAGGTGAGGGGTGGCAGGGGCATCACGGATCTGGTGGGGATGGGAGGACCGTGGGGTACCCAGATGTGTGGGTGAGATGGGGGTTGGGAGTCTTGGGCCAGGAGGGCTGCAGCAGCCAGATTCCTCTTGTGGTTGGTGCAGATGTGGGGGACTTGGATGGGTTACTCCTGACCCCTGACCCTTGACCTCCATAGCGACTGGCTGAACTGCTGCTGGAGCGAGAGCCAGCCCCTGTATTGCCTCAGGCTCCTGCTAGGACTCCCCCGGAGGGCCCTTCACACCATCTGGCCTTGCAGCTAGCCAACACCAAGGGCCAGCTGCGGCGTCTGCGGCAGGAGCTGTGAGTACCGCAGGCTGGGAAGTGGACACGGGCGGAGGGCGACGGATTAGGAATGGGGGGGTCCAGCCCCAGTGGGGATGTCAGCTCAGGCCTGGTAAGGGTTGGGGGTTACGGTCCTCAGACTCCTCCAGCGTCCCTTCCCTCCAGGGAGGAGAAGGCCGAGCTGCTGCTGGACTCCCAGGCAGAGGTGCAGGGCTTGGAGGCCGAAGTTCGAAGGCTCCGCCAGGAGGTGCGCGCAGAGGATGCTCCCGCCATTGCGGCATTCCCTAACCCTCCCCCGCAGCCCCCCGTCCTGTTGCCTTCTGCGGCCCGCTCTTTCCCACCCCTAATTCCGCTGGCCCGCGCTGGCTGTTCCCAGCCCCGCATCGTCTGGCCCAGGCCCAGGCGCTGTCAGGACAGGCCAGGCGGGCCGAGCTGTACCGCGAGGAGGCAGAGGCGTTGCGGGAGCGGGCCGGCCGCCTGTCCCGCCTGCCGGAGGAGCTGCGACGCTGCCGGGAGCGGCTGCAGGCTGCAGAGGCCTGCAAGGGCCAGTTGGAGGTGCGGCGCGGCGGGGCTGCGAAGGCTGGGGGTGGGCCATGAGGAGGAGCGAATTTGAGCCTTAATGGAGGGAGGTCACCTCTGGGAGAAATGGGTGGGGTGGTATCTGGGGAAAGGCCCTCTGGAGGGTGGGGAGGATGTGGGGGGCGGGGGGAAGAGGTACAGGCTGTAGGTACGATCGGTCAGGGAGAAGAGGGTGGGGCCAAATGCAGGGGACGTGGGGTCTGGAGAGAGCCCTCGGGCGTTGGGGCTGATAAATAGCGCCTAGAGGGATACCACCTAAGACGCAGTTGCTGGGGAGAAGGGGCGGGACCTAATAGAAGAGGAGCCTGCCCGGGGTTAGGGAGGTGGTACCTGGGGGGTGGGGCTGATGGAGGGGAGAGGTGGCGCCTAGAACGCCATGGGCGTGCAGGGTCAGAAGGAAAAGGGCAGGCGGGGTCTGTGGCACCTCGGCTTCTCTTTGCTTCCTCACCAGGAGGAGCGGGTGCTCTCCGGGGCCCTGGAAGCCTCGAAGGCTCTGCTGGAGGAGCAGCTGGAGGCTGCTCAAGAGCGCTGTGCTCGGCTGCATGAGACCCAGCGTGAGAACCTGCTGCTTCGGACTCGGTTGGGCGAGGCCCATGCGGTGAGATTGACAGAGAGATCCTTGGTTACTTTGAAATCTGTGAGCCCCAGCGACCCCAGTGGTCCCCCAGGGTTCCGTAGTGACCCTGTGGCCCCTAGCCTTCTTTTAGTGACCCTCTAGGCTACACACTTGGACTGGCCTTGGTGGGGAGGGCTCGTCTGATCCTGCTTCCCACCAGGAGCTGGATTCTCTGCGGCATCAGGTGGACCGGCTGGCACAGGAGAACGTGGAGCTGGAGCTGGAGCTTCAGCGGAGCCTGGAGCCACCACCCCCGCTCTCTCCTGGGGAGGGTGAGTAGGGCCTCAGTGGAGGGGCTGGGGCTGGGGGCTGCCTGTGTTTTCCTGCAGTTATAGTGGGTTCGTCTTCTGACGTCATCCTCTTCTCCCAGGCGTTAGGGGATGGGGGGGTGCATGTGAGGAGCCGGGGAGCAGGGCGAGACCTAGCATTGGGAGGGGTCCTGACCTCATCTCACACGCCCCAGAACCCCTGCCAGGAGCTGCCCCCTCGCTGCATGATGAAGTGAGGGAGGCAGAGGCTGGGCGACTGCGGGTTCTGGAGCTGGAGAATCAGGAGCTTCGAGGTCTGCTCCAGGTGTTACAGGGGCAGCCAGATGGCCAGGTGAGTCCCCTCCCCCAACCTTCCTAGTAGGTCCTTTTTGGCATCCTCCTCTGGGCTTGAGCATCCCTCTCATGTGCCCTCAGCACCCCCTGCTGGAGGAGCAGAATGAGGACTCCTTGGTTCCAGAGCTGGACCCGGCTCCCCAGACTTGCCTGGCCTCGGACCATGACACCCATGGCTTGGCTGGCCTGGTGGGGGATGAATGCCCCGAGGCCTCGGATCTGGCTCCCTTGGTATCAGGCTCAGTCCCTGAAGGACTTGCTGAGTGTTCCCAGGCATCAGATTCAGACCCACAGGGGATGGAAAGATCCCTTCAGATGGCTGCCATGGCCCCCCAGACCTCAGACTTGACCCCCCAGGAGTCGGGTCCTGCTGCGGAGACAAAGGAGTCCTTGGAGAAGGCTGGCCATGGAGCCCCTCTCCAGACCTCTGCCTCTGTGGCTCCACTTCAGGATCCAGAGATCAAAATCCAGGCCCACCTGATGCCGGGAGGAGAGACTGGGGAGTCCGGGCCTGAGGCCCAGGGGCTGAGACAGGCAGGCCCCAAGAACAAGCCCGGACCCTGGGGACTCAGCCTCCGTGTTCAGCAGAGGAAGCAGGAGACCCCAGGCCAGGGGCTGGACCCACCCAAGGGGCAAACAGAGGCCAGAGAGCACGAACAGGGGCTGGAGGGGACGGTTGGAGGCCCAGACCAGCAAAAAAGACAGTGGAAGCTGGAAGGGGCTCCTGAGACCCAGGCCTGGGAGAAGCCCACCCCAGAGGAGACCCTGGCCAGTGGTGTCCCACAGCAGGGGGCTCTCAGGGAGGAGGTGGCACGGCTGAGGAGGGAGGCTGAGGCCTGTCAAGCTGAGCTGGAGGCCCTGGCCCGGAGGCTGGAGGCCCGAGGCACGGAGGCCACCCGCCTCTCTGAGGAACTGGCTCAGGCACGGAGCGCAGAGGCTGAGGCTCACCAAGAGGTGGAGGCCCAGGCCCAGGAGCAGGCCCGGCTACGGGAGGCAGTGGAGGCAGCTGGCCAGGAGCTGGAGGCTGTGTCGCGGGAGCGGGAGGCGCTGGCAGAGGCACTGGCAGCAACCGGCCGAGAGCGGAGGCAGTGGGAGCGTGAGGGGCCCAGGCTGCGGGCCCGGGCTGAGGCAGCTGAGGAGCGGCTGCAAGTGCTGGAGGCTGAGAGCTGCCGGCATCAGCAGGAGGCCAACAGGGAGAGGCAGGCCCTCAGGGAGGTAAGTAGGGGCCTCAGGGTGTGAAGAGCCTGGTTCATGCTGGGCAGAGGCTCAGGACACACCGGTTATTGAGAGCCAAGCGTGCTGGGAGCCCCTGGAGAGGGAGCTGATGCCAGGGTGCGGGAGAGCAGGCTTCGGTGGGGGGATTCTGAGGAATGGTAAGATTTCAGTCAGCGTAGGAAGATGTTCCAGAGGCTGCAGCACACGCAAAGATTTAAAGGCCTTAAAGATGCTCAGGGACCCTGGGAGGAATAGGGAAACAGAGGGGTGTGTGGGGCCAGCTTTGTGGGTTTTACTGCCGCATCCCCAGGTGGGGAAAGCCATCCAAGGGTGTTTGCAGACCCGAGTTTGAGGAGGGTCCCCTAGGTGTGCAGGGAAGCCTGGGACCATTAGGAGGCAGCGCCAGTGGTCCAGGTAGCAGGTGAGGCTCTCTGGGGCTGGGATGGGGGATGGAAGAGAGAGACCTGGACACGCCTTCATTCATTTATTTAAGCATGTTGACGGTCAGCTCCTTGGTGCCAGGAGCTCTTTGGTGCCAGGCAGCCAGCACACCTGTCTGTGGGGAGGGGCTCACAGTCTGGGGTGGAGACAGGACAGTGTAGGGAGCCGTGGGGGTCCAGGAAGCACACTGGACTCAGGCTGGAGCGTGGCAGGGAAGGCTGCCTGGAGGAGGGGAGGGAATGGGAAGGGTGTTTGGGCCAGTGGGGCCCAGGGCTTTGGGGGAGGGTGTGCCAAAGACGAGGAATCAAATCTACAAGTTTGTAGTTTCATCCCTGTGAAACTCAGGGAGGAGGAGTCATTGCTCAGATACCCTGGGATGGAAGGAGTGAGGAACACACCACTGGGTGGACACAGGGTTATGCATCATTCAGGGCAGGCCTGGGGAATGGGAGAATGGGCGTTGTGGGTGCCAGGGTGGGCTGAGAGGTTGGGTCCACTCTGTAGGATGTGACTGAGAGATACTATTAAGCAGACCTGGGTTGTGTCCCAGATCCCCTACTTATCAGCTGTGTGGCTTGGGGCAAGTTACTTAACCTCTCTAAATCTTGGTTTCCTTACCTGTAAAACTGGAATAAAAACTACCTGCCCCACAGGATTCTGCAAGATAATGAATATAGAGAGCTTAGAACAGTCGTGGAGAGGGAATGCCAACAGGTGGCAGAGAAGGTGAGGGTGGGGCTGGCTGGCTGGGAGAGTAGCTCTGAGGACTGAGAGGGTGAGAGAGGCTGAGGACAAAGGGGAATTTGGGGAAATTTCCTGGTTAGAGCAGTTCCTGGTGATAGCTGGGTGTGGCTGGGGGAGGTCAGGGAAGCAAGGGCTGAGAGAGCTATCCCTGTTGGCTGGGGCAGGGCAGAAGGTGTGATGTGGGGGCACTGAGGCTGTGGCCAGGGCCTGGAGGGGGCCAGCGTAGGGTCTGGCCCAAGGTCAAGTCTTCATCTGTGCCACCATTTTTCCTAACCCTTAGCCCTTAGGTTGTAGTGGCTACTGGCCAATGGGCAGCAGGGTCTCATGAGACTTGTCATTCAAGTGAGACAGTGGCCAAGGGTGTCCAGGAGTGAGGTGACCCCAGGAGGAAGCTCGGGTGGGGTTGCTACACCAGGAAGATCAGAGCAAAGGCTGTAGATCTGGTTTCCAGAGGCAGGATTTTGCAGTGGCTGGTCAGCCTTGGCCCTTCCATGTGGGGGCCCCCGCAACTCAGAATGGTTTGGTCTACTTCCCTTTGGGGCCCACAGACCAGAGTGGGCCTCTTAACCCCTTCTACAGTGGTACGGCTCAACTGCCACAGGATGCCTGGCTAGCAGCATCCCAACCAAACGCCTCCCAGCCCCCACTGTGGTTAGGCCTGGCATTCACTAAGTTCCTGCCCTGGGCCAGGACTGCTCTCCAGACCTGTCTCTTTCCCTCACATGTCCAGGGTGGCCTCAGCACACAGAACGGGTCTAGCTGTCACTAGGCACATGGGGAAGTATGGGCTCAGAGAGGTAAAGACACTTTCCCAGCATATGTCTCTGACTCTTGGCCCATGGGCCATACCCACACTCTGCCAGCTCTTCCATAGCCACTCTGCAAGGTGACCAGGCTTTACTCCCATTTTACAGATGGGGGAATAGAGGCCCAAAGGGTTAAAGATATTTGCCCAGGATGACAGAGCCAAGACAGAAAGCCAGGTCTCCTGAGGTTTCTCAGCCCTCTGTATCCAGCTCTCCCCTGCCCCCTGGGTGAGGGCGGTGGTCTGCTGTTCTGGCTCTGAGCCTGTTCTGCTTGCCCTCAGGAACTTGAAAAGGCTGTGGTACGGGGCCAGGAGCTGGGGGCCCGGCTGGAGCGTCTGCAGAGGGAGCTGCAACAGGCGGCTCAGGAGCGGCATGAATTTGTGCAGGACCAAGAGTTCCAGCAGCAGAGGTGGGGACATTGCCGGAGGGGCAGAGAGAGGCAGGCAGGGTCTTGGGGAAGGGTAGGTGCCACAGCTTCTCGTGGTAGGTACCAGGCCCTGGAGCAGCGACTGGAAGCTGAGCTGCAGGCGGCGGCCACTGGCAAAGAGGAGGCACTGATGGAGCTCAAGACGAGGGCCTTGCAGCTGGAAGAAGAGCTGCTCCAGGTGAGTCCCCGGCCCTGGGAGCTGGGGGCCTCCTCTCAGCCCTCCCAGCACCCTGCATGCAGGTAGCCAGACCTGCACAGACGCCCATCCCACCAGAGCTAGTGTTGTTCCCTGATTCTTGGCCAGTTGCTTGCCTTGTGTGTGTGGGATGGTTAGAGGGAGCACTGTGCTGAGAGTCAGGCCAACTGCCCTGGCCACGTGGTCTTCTCAGGACCTCATCTCCCCCATTCCTTAAATGGACAGAACCTGGTGGCTCTGCTCTGAGGTGACTGATGTGTCTCTCGCTTGGACCCCACAACTTCCTAGTGGGCTCAGTTACTGTCATCGGTAATGGTTTCTGATGGCTCTGCTGCATGCGGGCTCACTGCCCAGTGCTCTCTCAAGGTTGCTGGGGGTAATACAGGCCACTGCCCTCAGGGAGCTCACAGTCCACCTGGGACAGAGGCAAGGTCACAGGGTGCTGGGGATGGTGGGCACCCAGCTGACCAACTAGCTGGCTATGTGGGCTTGGTGGCAGAGGTTTTTTGGGGAAAGTGGCCCACAAACCTGGGACAGAAAGAGTGCTCTGTGCAGAAGCTGTGGCACGGGCCGAGGCCAGAACTGAGGGAAGTCCAGACGGGCGGGATGGAGGGTGCTGGCCTGCAGGGGTCAGGACCCAGGGGTAGGGGCGTGGGTGGGGGAGAGTGGACAGTGTCAAATGCTGACGAAGGGGTGAGGGTCTGTTGGTTTAGGTCCCTGCGCTGCCCCAGGCCTCCTGTACTGCCCCAAGTGACCTCCCAGGGCCTCTCCCTGCAGCTGCGAGAGGGCCCTGTGGGGCTCAAGGAGCACACTGATCCCAGGATCACGGGGGCCCAGAGCGGGCGGCTCATCGAGGTGGAGCGCAGTGTGAGTGTGGGCCCGGGTGGGCCCCGGGAGGGGTGGGGTTGTCCGATCTGCCTGGCCCCTCCTAGCCAACTCCCCACCCCACCCCTTCTTGGCAGAATGCAACGCTGGTGGCTGAGAAGGCAGCTCTGCAGGGGCAGCTGCAGCACCTGGAGGGGCAGCTGGGAAGCCTGCAGGGACACGCACAGGAGCTGCTGCTGCAGAGCCAGCGGGCGCAGGAGCGCAGCAGCCGCCTGCAGGTGGGTGGCGGCCTGGTGCCCAGCCTCTGCCCCTGCCCCTTGTGTATCCTTCCCTGCTCCTGCTCCTGTCCAGCTGCCCGGCCCTGTTCCCTGGTCACATGTATCCATGCCCGCTGACCGCAGCCACCCTGTTCTGCACCTGTCGTCTGCAGCCACCTTCCCACATCTCCCCTTAACCCCTCCTCCTTCCCCTGTTCCTTCCTCTTCCCCCTGCGTCCAGCCCCCACTGTGCCCCTTTTTGCCCCATCTCCAGCCCTCTCCTCCGCAACCAGCCATTTGTCCCTACCCGCTTCCTGCTCCTGCCTGCAGACCCGTCTGTCCCATCCCTGCCCTGGGTCTCCTGCCCCCCACTCCACAGCACCTGCCTCTGTGATACCTCTCTGCTCTTCTTGCACATTAACTTCTTTTCTTTTTGCCTTAATTTTAAAAAATTGAAATATAGTTGACATGTAGTATTATATGGTTTAAGTGTACAACATAGTGGCTCAACAATTATGTATATTGCAAAATGCTCAGCATGATAAGTGTAAATACCAGCTGTTGTCACACTAAGACTTGACGATATTACAATCAACTTTACTATGTTCCCCGTGCTGCACTTTCCATGCCATTTTAACTTCAGCCCCTGCCTTCGGCTCCCTGCTGCCCCCACCCCAGCCCTCTGCCTCCTCCACAGATCTCTCTCCTTGTTCTCTGCCCTGCCCTCTGTCTTTTGTCCCCATCCCTTGCCCCCTTTCCGCCCCTTTCCGGCCGGGGATTCCACCCCGGTGGTCCCTGCTCTCTCCTCTGCCCTAGGCTGAGAAGTCTATACTGGAGATGCAGGGCCAGGAGCTGCACAGGAAGCTGGGGGTGCTGGAGGAGGAGGTGAGGGTGGCACGGCGGTCCCAGGAGGAGACCCGAGGACAGCAGCAGGCCCTGCTGCGGGACCACGAGGCCCTGGCACAGCTGCAGCGGCGGCAGGAGACCGAGCTAGAGGGACTGTTGGTCCGGCACCGTGACCTCAAGGCCAATATGCGGGCACTGGAGCTGGCCCACCGTGAGCTGCAGGGCCGGTGAGCCTCCCTCAGACACCCAGCTCCTCTCCTGGGCACCCAGAGCAAACTCCCTTGGTGGGTCTGACCCACCAGGGAGGCACCACTGCCCAGCAAACCCATCTCTGCCCCTTTTCCCTCTCGTGGGGCTGGAGTGTGCTCACCCTGCGGCTCATCTGTTGTTGGGAATGGTGGGCATCTGGCATGGCATTCTCTGTATGGCTTTGCCTGGGGGCCTGTGCTTAGGAGGCAGACCCCCAGGTCTGAACAGTGCAGCCACTCGTTGCCCTGGCCCCAGGTTTCTGCAGCCCTCTGAGCCCCTGTCCATCCCAGGCATGATCAGCTGCAGGCCCAGAGGGCCAGTGTGGAGGCACAGGAGGTGGCCTTGCTGGCAGAGCGTGAACGCCTGATGCAGGATGGGCAGCGGCAGCGGGGCCTGGAGGAGGAGCTGCGGAGGCTCCAGAGTGAGCACGACAGGTACCAGCCCTCTCCTTGCAAGCCAGACCTCAGTGCTCCCATCTGTGAAGTGGGTCGGTGGTGACAGTCACTGTCCCTGTGGGGGTCTGGGATGGGCGGCAAGTCCTTTTGGAGAGCAGCTCTCCTCGCCTCCTCAGAGCGCAGTCACTGCTGGCCGAGGTGTCCCGGGAGCGCGGGGAGCTGCAGGGTGAACGCGGGGAGCTCAGGGGTCGGCTGGCACGGCTGGAGCTGGAGCGGGCACAGCTGGAGGTGCAGAGCCAGCAGCTGCGGGAGTTCAACCAGCAGCTGGACCTGAGCACCTGCCGGCTGACCACCCAGTGTGAGGTGTGCTGAGGGTGGGCAGCGGCCGGTGGCAGGTGGAGTGGGGGAGGCGGTGGGGGCAGCGGGGGGAGAGGACGGTAGCCACCGGCCCCAGTAACCCCTCCTGTTCTGCTGCCGGCCCCCCCCAGCTGCTGACAGAGCTGAGGAGCGCCCAGGAAGAGGAGAACCGGCAGCTGCTGGCTGAGGTGCAGGCGCTGAGCCGGGAGAACCGGGAGCTCCTGGAGCGCAGCCTGGAGAGCCGCGACCACCTGCACCGGGAGCAGCGGCAGTACCTGTGAGCAGGCCGTGGGCGGGCTCGCTGCCGACTGGGAGCTGCAGCTCTGGGGACCCCGAGCTCGTGGGGAGACGGCCGGAGGTCCAGGGGCAAGGGCTGGGGCTGGCCACCAGGGTGCGCTCATCAGCGCAGGCCGTGTATGTCAGGGTGGGAACCATCAGCAGGGTTGCACCAGTGCGCACCTGCTGTGACCTGAGCCTCGCTGCCGCCCCAGCCGCGTGCCTGCCTCCTCTCTGCCCATCCTTCCAGGGACCAGCTCAATGCCCTGCGCCGTGAGAAGCAGAAGCTGGTGGAAAAGATCATGGACCAGTACCGTGTGCTGGAGCCTGGGCCCCTGCCCCGGACCAAGTGAGCGGCCCTTCCACCCCTTGGGCTAGGGATCCCCACAACCTCTGCCCCTGCACTGCCCTCTGACCCCTGGCCCAGTTCAGCTCTGGTCTCATTGAGGGTTTGCCTGGCTTTTGCCATCTCTGACATGGCTCTCAGGCCCTTCCTTCCTCCCTGGCCTTACCCCTTCTTATGCCCTCTTGCCCCCAGGAAGGGCAGCTGGCTGGCAGACAAGGTGAAGAGGCTGATGCGGCCCCGGCGGGAGGGGGTACTCCACGGGGGGCCACGCCTGGGGGCCGATGGGGCTGGCAGCACCGAGAGCCTGGGGGCCCCCCCTGAGACGGAGCTCTCCGAGGGCAGGGAGGCGGATGGGACAGGTGGGTCTGGGGGCCGGGTGACCAGGATAGTCCCTACCCCATGTCCTCTACCCCTACCCTGGTGTCTGTCAATGCCTCTGGTCTCTCCCTGCGCCGCTTGCGCACGTACCTCTGGCCTTCCCTGCTGCAGCCCTACCCTGCCCACATGCTTCGAGTGGCTCTCTGTCCTGCATCCCTGCCACATCCCTCTCAGCCCGCACCTCCCTCCTGCCTAGGCTGCCCATCCGCAGCTGCACCTAGAACCTTGGAGCAGCAGGGGACTTTAGTGAGAGGTCATTTATCCCAGTCAGCAGATGAGGAAGCTGAGGCCCAGGGAGGGAAAGCACCTTGCCCAAGGTTACACAGTGAGTTAGTATCAGAGCCAGCACAGGGCCCAGCCTCCCTTGCCACAGCCATTCACCCAGACCCCCTTCCCACCTCCGCAGCCTTTTCTCCCTGCCTTGCGCCGCCTCACCCTGCCGGCTTCCCCTCTGTGCCCGGCCCCGCCCCGTGCTGCTCTAACACGCTCCCTGCCTATGCCTCTGCAGGGTGCCCTTCACCAGCACCCGTGCGCCGGGCCCAAAGCTCCCTGTGCCTACGGGATGAGACCCTGGCAGGTGGGCAGCGACGGAAACTCAGCTCACGATTCCCTGTGGGGCGAAGCTCTGAGTCATTCAGTCCCGGAGATACGCCCCGACAGCGATTCCGACAGCGCCGGCCAGGTCCCCTGGGCGCACTCAACTCCCATGGCAAAGGTGAGGGACAAGGGTCCCTGCCCCCAATAGCACCAACTCCCTATGGACCCACCAACTCCTTGGTTGGGGGAGCTTCTCTCCTGTCCCCTGTGTCTCCCCACAAGCCCTGCCGATCTCTGCACTGGTCCCTGTGGCCCAGTAGGCTGCTTGTACCTCCTCCAGGACCTGGCGTGGGATGGGATGGCTCTGTTGAGACCCTGGCCGAACACGAAACAGATGTTAACCGAGAGGGTGAGTCAGGGTATTTGCCCTACCCGGGTCGCTGACAGACCTCATTCATCCATTCACTCATTGGCAATGAGCCTTTACTAAGTGCCAGGTGACATGCTAGCTGGGGTTATAGCAGAGAATGTACTGGTATGGGAGGCAAACAGTAAACAATATGCATAAAAATAATAATTATCGATAACAGTTCTGTCCAATAGAAACGTGATGAGAGCTACATGTGTCACTTAAATTTTTCTAGTTGCCTCATCAGGAAAAGTAAAAAGAGACAGGCAAAATAAACATTTTATTTAACTCAATATGCCTGAACTATTGCTGTTTCCAACATGTAGTTGGTGTGAAAAGTCACTAATGAGATATTTTATATTATCCTTTTCATATTAAGTCTCAGAAGTCCAGTGGGTATTTTATACTACAGCACAAGTATGTAGCCACATCTCGTGTGCTCAGTCCTGGGCTGGGCAGCTCAGCCCCAGGACATTAGGAGGCAGTAATGCTCGGGCACAAAGAACAGGCTGGGGGTGATCAGCACTGGGCGGGCAGCTGCAGTTTTAATTGGGGTGTTCAGGGTAGGCCTGAGAGAGGAGGTGAACTTGGAGCAAAGACTTGGAGGTGAGAGGTTGGCGTCAGCATTATCTGGGAGCAGTATTCCAGCCCAAGGGAGCGTCTAAAGCAAAAGCCTGGTGTGTTTGTGGACTGGCAAGGTGGCTGGTGCAGCTGGAGTGAGGAGGGGGAGAGCCGAGAGGTGAGGAGGGCATGGGGGGTCACAGAAGGCGTTGGGCCCTGTGAACCACCCTGAGCCCTGGCAGTCCCCCACCGAGGAGCAGGCCTGAGCTGAGCCCTTCCTTCCAGGCCTCAAGGTGCAAGAACCGGAGAAACGCGCTCTGGCCCCTTCCCTCAGCCAGTGAGACCAAGACGACAGGGAGCTTGGGAGTGGATTCTTCTCACTGCTGGAGTCTCAGTGGGGGCCCCAGGCAGGCCAGGATTGTTGGAGTTAAGGACACCTGTGGTCAGTTCTTGGACAAGGAAGCCTGGGCCTCTGGATCCCCCAAGGTCTGCACTAGGGTCTTGAGATGGAGCTGGGGTGAACCTGTGGACCGGGAGATGGCTGGCACCCACAGACAGCTCCTTGCCGCAGCACGGGGATGAGACCCTCGCTGAGGAGGTGGGCCATGGGGGACCCCCCCAGGAGGCAGGCCCGAGTGGGTAAGAGAGCTCCCTGCCCCGTCTAGGTGGGGAGCTGAGGACCATTCCATGGAGACAGTGGCCTGGGCCCGTCCCTGAGCCTTATCTGGGTTGTGAGGCACAGGAGAATAAAGCTGGGATACATTAGTCTGCGTTGTCTGTCTACTGGCTGCATCAGGAGCCTTGAGGTGCCAGAGACACACGTGGCCTGGAGTCATCCTCTGCTGGCAGGGGTCTGGGCCCTTGCCTTCCTGGCCCTCCACACGGCAGCACAGGGCTTTCTGCAGAGGAGAGACCCAGTGGGCTTGTCTGGATGTCCCAGGGGTGTGGGGAGGTGGGGGCTCTGGGTAGCCAGCAGTGGGTGGGGCCCAAGTCTAGGCTCAGCCTTTGCTTAAAAAACGGGGTCTGGGCTATGGGGCAGGGGGCAGTGAAGCCTCAGAAGCCCCGCCTCCCCCTTCTCTCTGTCATTTCCTGCCTCCTCATCCTCTCTCCTCCGCCCCTTCAACAGTGCACCCCTTCCCAGGGAGTTCACAGTTCTGTGGGGTGGGGGCCGTTTTGAAGGGACATGAGAGGTAGGAGGGACACGGGGTCTCTCACCAGGGCTCTAGGATGACAGTCAGGAAGGGGGCAATTAGACTGGGTGGCAGGACAGACGTGAGTCAAAGCACCTGGGGCCACCCAGGAGAGGGCAGGGCTCCCTGCCCTGTGAGGCATCCTGAATCTGGGGGTGGGCCAGGCCACCTGAAGCTGGGAGGGGTGGTTAGGCCAGCCTCCCAAGGTGACCTGTAGCACCTGACTCATGGGATTGCCACGGCCCACCTTGGGAATAGTCCACCCTCTGCCCTCTCCGGTCAGTCCAAGCCCCAGAGGCCGGGACTGCCTGGCCTCCAGCTGTGCTGAGCCACTGAAAGTTCCCTCCTTTGGCCTTAGGGTGGGGCTCTGATGGCTGCCCTACCTGCCGGTGGCCCTTGTCAGGCGTTGGGGAAGGGGGATGAGGCTCCAGAGGACAGGTCAGCCAAGGGCTCTGGGCCTGACTGGGAGAGTAGGCCACCCCTCTGCTTGGGGACCGCAGGGGCCAGAACCATGTGAGGACTGTGGCACTGAGCAGGCTATGAAGGGTGCCTGGGTCCGTGTGTTAGCGGGTCCACTCTAAAGAGATTTATTGGAATCTCTTGGGCCTGGTTCCTGCACCCTCTCCGCTCTCTGTGGGTAGGGAAGTCCAGAGACAGGGCTTGGTCCTCAGGGGGGCTGAGCCCATGCCCTCCCCTGCAAAGGCGAGTCCACACTGAATGAGAGGTGCAGGGTTGTGCTGGCAGCGGCTGGACAGGGCTGCTGTTGAGGCTTCAGGCCACTCATCGGTCAAGGGGACCTACAGATGCCCTCCCCGATTTGCCCTGGTTAAGGAGGGATTGATCACAAACCACCTGAGTGGGTTGATGTTTATAAAATTCCTCACGCGTGCTGGTGGTTAAGAATTGCACAGAGATGCTTGCCTGCCCTTCCCGCTTGCACCCTGGAGGGCAGGCCTCTAGCGCCTGTGTGTGGGCCCCCTCCCTACTTGGAGGGCGGCTCGGGTGTCTCACCACCACCGGCCTCAGCGGGTACCTGGCTTTGAGGGTATCCGCCCAGTAGAGGCCCCAGGTTATTCATGGACTCCAGGCATGGATCCCAAGGGGTGTTCCCAGGTCCCTAGGAGGGTCGCACGGGGCCCCGGAGCGCACAGCCTTGATGTCCGCCACGCGCGCCCGCGGGAAACCGACAGCCCCCGCTCGCCCGAGCGGCCGGGCGCTGTCACGTTCCAGCCTCCTGACTCAGGCCGCGCGGGGCGGGAGCGGGAGGCGGCGCCGGCGCCCGCCTCGGCCCCGGAGGCGGCACCAGGAAGCGCCCGCCCCGGCAGGAGCCGCCATGTAACCGGCGCCACCCGGAGCCGAGTCGCGCGGGCTCCGGCGACCCGCCCGCCATGGGGGACGAGGACGAGGAGGAGGGCTGCGCGGTGGAGCTGCGGATCACGGAAGGTAGGGCGGAGGCGGCCCGCGGCTGCGGGGCCGGGTGATGGCTGCCCAGGCTAGGCCTGGAGGGGGCATGCAGCGGCTGGACTTACTTGCCTCTTGTGCCCACAGCCAACCTGACCGGGCATGAGGAGAAGGTGAGCGTGGAGAACTTCGAGCTGCTCAAGGTGCTGGGCACGGGAGGTGAGGACCCCTACCCTGCAGGCAGGTGTCCCGGGCTTCCGGCCTGCACACCGTCCTGGGCCTGGGACAGGGCCAGGCCATTAGCAATGCCCCCAACCCGTTCCCGGCACAGCCCGCCTTGCCTGCCCCGCCCTGCCCTGTCAGGGTTTGCATGCCCAGTCCCGGGGACATGCCCACTCTAGGGCTGTTCCACCTTGACATCACTCCTCCCTGCGAGGTCTTCCTGCATATTCTAACACCCTCCGGGGGCTTGTAGTACTCTCAAGTGATTTGCACAGCTCCTTCCCTTGTGCAGTAAGAGAGCCCTGTCCCTGCTTTGCACACTCCCCAGTACAGGCGTCTGCACATCCCTGTACCTCTGCCACCCTTCCTTGGATCTGCATCCTTCGCATATCTCTGACTGTCCTCAGGTTTGCATATGCCCCGCCCCTGCTTTGAGCTGCAGGCTTCCTGGAGTTGCATTCCCCCAGCGTGGTTTGCACATTCTCCCGGTTTTGCTGAGCATCACCTGGGGTGTGCACACCTTTTCCTTAGAGGGCTCTGCCAGCTTTTTTGCATATCTGCCTCCCAAGCCCAGCTCCTTCCCCAATTTGTACACCCTCCTGGTTGGCATCACCCCCACCCCCACCAGTCTGCACCACCCTTCTGTTCACGGCCTACCCTCCGCCCACTTGCTGTTCCCACAGCCTACGGGAAGGTGTTCCTGGTGCGGAAGGCGGGTGGGCACGATGCGGGGAAGCTGTATGCCATGAAGGTGCTGCGCAAGGCAGCGCTGGTGCAGCGCGCCAAGACGCAGGAGCACACACGCACCGAGCGCTCAGTGCTGGAGCTGGTGCGCCAGGCGCCCTTCCTGGTCACGCTGCACTATGCCTTCCAGACAGATGCCAAACTGCACCTCATCCTGGGTAAGGGCAGGCACCTGCCAACCTTGGGGGCTGTGAAGGTAGGTGGGGCTGTCCAATGGGAGGCTGCTTGCCAACCTCCATTCCACTGCTCAGACTATGTGAACGGTGGAGAGATGTTCACCCACCTCTACCAGCGCCAGCACTTCAAGGAAGCTGAGGTGCGAGTATATGGGGGTGAGATTGTTCTGGCCCTGGAACACCTGCACAAGGTGGGTGAAGACCTGGCCACCTGGCTGTTGAAGTGGGGACTGAGCCTGGGTCTTATAAGGGGTCTCCAAACATGGCAGCCTAGGGGTCTCTCTCCCTAGGCATCCTGGGGGTGGGGGGTGGCCTTTGTGGGGACTGGAGATGCTTCCCCAGGCTTCCTGAATGGGGGGATCGCCCCCCAGCACCTCCTCGAAGGGGCTTTCCTTTCACAGGGAACTCAGGGCTGCCTCCCGGGGCCATGTTCACAGAACTTCCTCAAATGGAGACTTAACGCCGTGGCTCCTGAGGCCTTTTCACAGTGGGGCTCTTCGCACGGCTTCTCTCTCTCTGAGACGTTGGAGCCTCCCCAGGGTGCCTGTCTACAGAGTCCTCATTGGTTGTTTTTCCATCTGAAATAGCCCTTCCAATTGAATGGCCCAGTTCCACCCCAGGCCTCCTCCTGCACTGGTGACCCCCTTCTCCAGGGTCCCCCTTATCCTGAGCAGGGCCTGGTTCTGGGGGCATAGCTGTAGGCGGTGGGGCGGTGTGCAGGGAGGAAGCCTCAGTACCCCTCTTGCTCCTGCTAGCTGGGCATCATCTACCGAGATCTGAAACTGGAGAATGTGCTGCTTGACTCCGAGGGCCACATTGTCCTCACAGACTTTGGGCTTAGCAAGGAGTTCCTGACGGAAGAGGTGAGTGAAGGGCGAGCATTCTGCCTACCACACCCCGACTGGAGTCTTCTCCTGCCTCCTCCTGCTCTGTGCCTGGCTCTGCGTTTCTCGGGGGTACAGAGGTAAATAGATCCAGGCTCTGCCTTCAGGAAGTTCCCACTGCTCCAGTCCTACTGAGTCCAGCAAGTTCTCTCAGCCTTGGGGGCTGCTGGGTATCCACATGGGTCCTCTTGCCCTCCCAGAAAGAGCGAACCTTCTCCTTCTGTGGCACTATTGAGTACATGGCCCCCGAAATCATCCGCAGCAAGTCGGGGCATGGCAAGGTGGGTTGGCAGGGGAGTGGGGGGTGGGGGGAAGGCAGAGCAGCTGCAGGCCCTCACCCTGCTCTGCCCCGACAGGCCGTGGACTGGTGGAGCCTGGGCATCCTGCTCTTCGAGCTGCTGACGGGGGCCTCGCCCTTCACACTGGAGGGCGAGAGGAACACACAGGCAGAGGTGTCCCGGTGAGCGGGGCTGGATGTGGAGGGTGGCAGAAGGGCCTGGGCAGGGTTATGGGGGGGGCTCGCTGCCCCTGACGCCCCCCCAATCCTCCCAGACGGATCCTGAAGTGCTCCCCTCCCTTCCCCCCCCGGATTGGGCCAGTGGCGCAGGACCTGCTGCAGCGGCTACTTTGCAAGGACCCCAAGAAGCGGCTGGGTGCGGGCCCCCAGGGGGCACAGGAAGTCAAGAATCACCCCTTCTTTCAGGTGAGGCTCATGACTCACCGCTGTTCTTCTCTGCACACACCCAGGCTGGGCTGCTGCTCTGGGCTGGGGGACACTAGGGATGGCATGAGATAGGCTGCTTTCACTTGATTTGGACAACCCCCCAGATAAAGACAGCAGGCCTGTCTTCTCATCCATCTCTACTGAAACTTGGAAGATGCTCCTGAGGGAAAGAATTCTAGGTTCATTGGCTGTCAGGACTGGCAGGGACTTGAGAATGGACTCATTCGGTCTTTCACTGGATGGGTTCAGAGAAGGCAGGTGACCTGCCCCAAATGGCATGGTAAATGATGTAGACCTGGGAACAGACCCAGGTCTCCTGTAGGTCCACATCAGTACTGAAAGTCACATGGCTCTTAGCATCTGTCCAGGTGCTTTGTTCTTTGTCCCTGTATTTGTGCTTTTAATTCTGAAGGACAGTTGGCTA